TCTAATATTTCTAATATGATCACCAGTAAAGCAATGTTGCAAAAAATTGTATGTTGTCTGTTGAGGATACACATTAACATACAAAGATCTTTATGAAGCTTGTTTTTCTCATTTCTTTGTGTGTGTGTGTGTGTGTGTGTGTGTGTGTGTGTGTGTGTGTATCTGTCCAGTTAACACTATGCTGTCAGTAGAGATGGGCTCAACGGCTGTGCTCTGCTGCTCTTCTGTCCCGTTGACAACCTTGGAGTTAATAACATGGAAAATCACCCTCAGAGGCCAGCCTGTCTGCATGAGAGCTTATAAAAAACAAACAAATGAGACCAGTAACAACTGTACTGATGACGGAATCACGTGGGTCTCCAGACCTGACCTGAGTCCTCACCTCCAGATTAATGCAGTTGCTGTCGCACATGATGGAAATTACACCTGTGAAGCAGCAACATATAGTGGGTATTTCCTTCTTCGCTATGAACTCCAAGTGCTAGGTAAGGGAGGTCATATATTGTGATATAGCTCATCACTCTAAGCTTCATCTCTGATCTTAAGGCTTTAAGTTTCCTCCCATCTCTGCAGTGCGCCCTGAAGCCAACATCTTCCTCAGCAAGAATCAGACAGTGGTGTGTGAGGCAGTGGCAGGCAGGCCAGCTGCACGGATCTCCTGGATTCCAGCCGGGCACTGTGTGACCACGAAGGAAGGGCACAGCAATGGCACAGTGACGGTCAGAAGTGCCTGCCGCTATCCAGACAGCAATGTGTCTGCTGTGACCTGCTTAGTCTCCCATTCGACTGGGAACAAGAGTCTCTCTGAAGTTTTTCTGCCTTCTGGTTAGTAATGCTTTTAGTTTTTTGTTTGATTTCCCCCATTCTTACTGGCAACAAGAAAAAAAAATGTAGAGAAATTTCCTTTAAAGATGCTCTTTTTTTCTCCATTTGTCTTTCCCCCTCTTTTAAAATAGAGCTAATGTCTAGAAGGATATTATGAAGCATTTTTGTAAAAATTCATATTGTAGAATGCAGTTTATTCCACTGGCATATTTACTTGCACATAAGTGTTAAGTTGCCATACTAGTGTGTTTTAAAAGAATACTCAAGTTTTTATTTTTTTTTAATTTTTTTCAAAGTTTTATTGATAAACAGCAATGAGACAGTTTCAAATCAAATC